CGTCTGCAGCGGCCCTCATCTCTGCATTGTCGTGTGTGAAGGACCGCTGGCTCTGATGCCGATTTTTGGCTCAGCTTTAGAAACAGTACTGAAATATTATTTCTTTCATGATTTGTGGACATTAAGATCTAAAGAGAATAGGTCCTGGTCAGACCGTGTAATTCAGTAAAAGGGTGGAGTCAGAGTAAAGAAATATGCAAGAGGGGGTCACTCCAGTGGCTGGAAGTTTAAGGGGATTTTGCTGGGAGTTGGAGGGAAGTGGGCTGCCATTCGGCTGGTGTTTGACTGGGAAGGGTCATTTTGCATGGCTGCTACTGTATATGTTCATCAGAATCGATGTTATTTGGAGTCTGAGTCAGTCCATGTCTTCTACTGTGACTAGCTCAACTACAGAAATGTTGCTGCACTGCAGAGCAAAGGGCTCCTCGGCTATCTACCAGAATGGGGGTGTAGATGTAGCCCATTTTCCCCGATGTTTTAGATTTTTTTTTTTTAGATTTTTTAAATTGATTTTAGGAAAATTGATATGTTGCCCGCAGGATCCGATTGGCTGTCCGTCAAGACACAGGACGGTCCTCTACCCAAATTAAGGCCATTACTAGTGCTGACTGCAGCCCAATAACCATCTGACGGCATCTGTAAGGGAGGGACTTCAGATGCAAAAAACGTCTTCAAAGGCCACACCTTCTTCAACGCCACAAAATTGCCTGTTTGGAATTTGCAAGGGTGCACCAAACATGAGACATTGAAAGGTGGAAGAAAGTTGTGTTCTCTGATGAGAAAAAAAATGTAACCTTAATGGTCTTGATGGCTTTTTCGCATGACAAGGAGATCCCACCTGAGATGTTCTCTACACGGCACAGTGGTAGGGGCGTCATCATGATTTGGGGTGCATTTTCCTTCAATGGAACAATGGAGCTTCAGGTTGTGCAGGGGCATCAAACAGCAGCTGGCTATGTGGAGATGTTGCAGCGGGCATCCCTCATGACTGAGGACCCTCACCTGTGTGGTAATGATTGGGTTTTTCAACAGGACAATGCTGCAGTTCACAATGCCCGCCTGACAAAGGACTTCTTCCAAGAGAATAACTTCACTCTTTTGGACCATCCTGCATGTTCCCTGGATCTAAACCCAACTGAGAACATTTGGGGATGGATGGCAAGGGAAGTTTACAAAAATGGACATGAGTTCCAGACAGTGGATGCCCTTTGTGACGCCATCTTCAACACTTGGAGCAACGTTCCCACTAGCCTCCTGGAAACACTGGCATCAAGCATGCCTTAACGATTGTTTGAAGTCATCAACGAGAATGGTAGAGCTACTCATTACTGAGTCCTTTTTTTGACAGTTTGATTTCTGTTTTCGAGGGTTTTCAGGTTTTTTTGAGCTATGGTCTTAAACTTTTGATCAGCTGAAAAAAATCAGTTTTCAATTAATTTTCTGCTCAAAAGTTTTTGTCTCTTACGCTGATTTCTTCTTTTAACATTGTGAAGCTCTACTTAGAACCTTCTTTAGATCCAATAGTGCAAAATGCAAATTCTTGCAATTTTTTGACTGGTCTTAAGATTTTGCTCAGGAGTGTACCTATCCTCTCCTGACATGAGATTGTTGGACTGCACAGTTTATAGATTTTAGCCTGTTTGTTGAAAAAGAAAATGCATCATAAGAAACCCATTGCTTTGCAGCAAAACACTTGGCGTACATTAATATGTCTGTAGATGTTTTGGATCAATGAGGAAAAGGGAAGGATTTTCTATAATTGATATACCTGGCTCCAAAAGAACTAAAAAAAAAAAAAAAAAATGATGCAAAGCTGAATTATACTGTAACAGCAGCACCCCGAAGAGTCCTCTACTACACAAAGAAATGTTTAAAAAAAAAAAAAAAAACTTTAACACCATTGCAGATAAACAGAAAGATCCGTGGGATGTTAGCCATACTGTAAGTAACTTCCTTGATTTAAAAGCCCATCAGATTCCTCTGATGCTGTATACGAATGATCTAAGATTTTTCTGAAAATCGACGGACCCGTTCAGAGCTGAGACCGAAGAGCTCTCACCCCCCGTCAACCCCTGTTGTTTTAACTGCACAATTGTTATCGTTATATCTGCTGCTATTCCAAACAGACACTATTGAATGTATTAACATCTGGCTTATCTTGGACAGTATCAAAAGCCAGTTAAACAGACGCTTAGGATTTTGTTCTCTTTCTGTTACAAGTAGTCATTTAGGAGCATCTAGAGTTTTGCATAAATGTTACATTTTTTTAATCGTAAATTACTAGATTTAAGACATCATTTTTTTGAACTTGCTGTCACGATCTGGCCTGTTTGCTCTCCCTTAATTAGTCATTCCTTTCACCTGTTGTTTTTCCCTCCCTGCCTCAATTATAATTTCTTCCTCTCACCTGTGTCCTCTAGTTTATATTCAGTTCAACCTGAGCATTCAGGGCCAGATCACTGCTTGTCTTTCTGTCAGTCTTTCTGTTCAGTTTTATTTGGTTCATGTCCTGGATCCTAGCTGCCAGTGGAGAGAGGGTTTTAGTGTTTGTCTTGTCTTCTGATTGTCCACTGTTCCTCCCCCGCGGAGTCCTCTGGGTCTTTGGCTCATTATGGGGGGAGGTTCAGTTTTTATCTAAGTAAGCCTGGCTCCAGGAGGAGACCAGTTTAAAGTCCTGCTTCAAGTTCCGGTTCCACGTCCTGTCTCGGCTACACTCTTCCACTGAGCCTGCTCATCTGCACCTGATCCTGTCTGCTCCTGTGCGTGACCACCTGGTCATGCTTCTGGTCCCAGTCAGACTCTGAACCCTCCTGGAAGCCTGTGGATGCCTGGAGGTCTGGATCCTGCCACCTGTTCCTGCCTGATCTGTATCCTGCCTGTTTCTGTCTGTTCCTGTCTGTTCTGGACCCCTGACCAGGATCAGCTTTCAGCATAACCACTGGGACTGCAGCACTGGGGACACTCGTGGTCTGGACTGTTAAACCAGGTAAGTGACCAACCCAGATAATCATAAATCAGTTTATCGTGGTCACTTACCTGTGTTTCCTTCCTAAAGTTTCTGAGATTGGCCGCTGCCCGCCCCCCTGCCTGCAGTGTCCGCGAGCCACAGCTCCGCTTTTGTTTTGTTTTATATAATAAACGTTTGAACTTTCCTACTGACTGTCTCTCCTTGAATACTGGGTCCATCTGTCCGCAATTCATGACACTTGCAGTTGTTTCTGCTTTATACACAAATGGTTTATCATTCTGGCTAGATTCACACTCCTTTGGGTGACAGTTTGAATAAACAGAGACAAATAGATCTTTGATAATTAATAGCTGTGCTGATAGCCTAGCCTAAGTGACTAAATTGGTGGGAATAACTGGATTTTAACAGGTGAAAGGCCCAAAATCCTGGTAAGTGAGCAGATTGGAGCTATAGTTATTCAACCAAGAACACCAAATTGATTTTACCTCTGATTTTGAATAAGTTAAATAATTAACTACAACACCAGTTCTAGTTAATCATTTATTCATAATCTACAGGAAATATTATTTCATAACAGAATGGTATGTTAGCTGTCAGTAAAATCTTGCTGTTGCATGTTTTCTTTTATAAACTATATTATCAACAAAAGGTGCTTCATACAGTTTAATAAACTAGATGTGCTCAGATCCACTGTCTTAAATCAGTTTCAGCCTGAAATTACCTGAAACAAAACAGAGGGGAGGAAGATGCATTACCTTCTCTCTGTTGGCAAGAAAAATCTTTTTATCGTTTTAAGGGACAAGAACAGGATGTAATAATTATAAATTTGTTGGGGTTTTTTTGTCCTCAACACAAGTTTAAGGAACCTGCATGTTGTATTCTACGTTACAACTTCAATTACAGCTTTTAACGTTTGAATGCATTATATTTGAAGGAATGAATAAATGTACTAAATTTTAAAACCTGCCACTGACGGAGGAATACCAGGTCATTGCAACAAAGAGACGCTCAATTGGAACAGAATAACAGTTGCTCCTATTTTCTCTGGGCTGCTGCCAACACTACGTTTGCCTTGCAGCGATCAGTTGAGAAAAGATTTAGACAAACAAACACCACACCCAACTGCATAAAAACAGAAGAAAAAAAAAAACTTTGAATCTGACCTTTCCTGTAAACATAAAAATATACTTCTATGCACTGTGTTTAGTATATTTCCTCCATGTTGGAGGAAATATACTAAATATACTATACTATAAGAAGCTCAATCCAAACAAACCTCATCTGTCATGGTCTGTAGGTGTTAAATTGTGGTTTAGATTTTGTTTACATCTTTTAGGTATAGCTTCTTTGTATTTTATCTTCAATATGTCTTACCATATTTTGCTGCTTTTGTCATTTAAAGAATACCATGTCACTTCTTTATGCTCACTTTGCCAAGTGATTTTACGTAGACCACCATTAATATAGTGATACGGTATCTATCACCCTGAGAGGCAATTCTTCCCAGACATTTTTTGACCTTTAAAGAACTTTTTTTTTCAACAAATAAGACATTGGTGAGAAAAAAATACTTAATAAAGAGAATATTAATGTTTAAACGTTATTATGAATTTTCTTTTTTACTATACATTATTGAAAAACAACATTTTTAACTTAAATGCTATTTTGCAAATCTGGTGAATTTTGTTTTTCTTTTCACAAACCTGTTGGTATTTGATTTGTAAAAATAATTTTAATTTTCTTTGTATGTAGTTCAAGATATCTTTGTAAATGTAGATGTAAGGTATTGTACTTTTTTGTAACTTGTAAATAACTGAATATATATTTTTTATTGAATAATATGGTGAAAGGACCATTTGAGTGGTGCTTTCAGTTCATGTTTTCTTCTGCATCTGGTTCAGCAGATAGTTCATTGTAAGAGCAGATCCGATCTATGTTTGATGTCTCGCTACATTGCTGCTATGGACTCAAGGGCGGGACTCTGAGGGGGGTTATTGGAGTGCTGATGGGAGGAGATCATTTACACCAGGACTGATGCAGAGCCCAGGGCTGACAGAAGCTAAGAAAACTTCAGAAAAGTTCTGCTGAACTTCGTCAGGTAAGTTAACAAACACAAACTGAAAACGTTTTATAAACCTGCTTGATGAAGGTGATTACTGAGTTATATTTCTACAATCTAATGGTAACTGACTTCACAGAATATCTGAAAATGAAAAAAATATATAGCTATACAGTATAAACTGTTTGTTTTAGACGGTGCGATATTAATACGTTTGTTGTATTCTAGTCCTTTCGTTTCCAGGTTTTGTGTGCACAAGGTTTTGTTGGATCGTTTTCTTGCTTTAGGAGAAATTACCCTTAGAATGATCCTGCTCTCATGTTTGGTATGAGGGATTGCTGTAAAGGCAACAACACATTGCAATTGCTATGTCTGAATATCTGAGAACCAATCTGCTGAGATGATTTGATTGACTTAGTAAAGTACTTTCAAATTACATGTGATTTTATACTATCTAAATAAACTTAAATGATTTATAGTCAAGAAAATTTTATTGACTTACTCTGCAGGTTAATCACCTGGGTTTATTTCTTCTCTGTGGATTGACACACATTGGGATTATCCTTGAAAAAAATATTTTAAGAAGCCATAGTGATAATAATAGTACTAAAAATGAGAAAAACAATAATAATAATACAGTTTACTTTTGTAAAGGTACAGGTTAATCTAATGAACTGGGTTTTTTAACTGTGTAAGAACTGATGTTTTGTTGGTCACAGGACATGAAAGAGCAAAGTTAAGGAGCAGAGGGATTGAAGGCATGGACAGAATCTTGTCGTACATCTGTAGAGACTGGGTAGTACGGAATATAAATAGACTCAATTTGAATTAACTAAATGGTGCCTAAGATATATAATTTGAACCAGTCTGAAGGAGTACAGGAAATGCAAACTGTGGGTATTGTCTCTCAAATAGGATTGAATGAATGATGTATTGAAGCTCATACTCAGACCAAGAAAGATTAGAATGGAAAACAGACAAGAATTAGCAGGAGAAAGAGAGCTTTTAAAATATTTATCAGGACAACTTGGTGCCTAATGAGGTTGAAAACTTGATTGAAACTCTTCATACGTGCAGTTGTGTAATTAGTTTAGGGGAAATTTTACTTTACGATAACTTTAAGAGCTTTGAAAATGAAGGGGATGAAAAGAGGTAGACATGTTCCTTTAACAATGATAGTGGAGTCACATGTTGCAGTATTAGTGCCAGAATACAGGCAGAAGTGAGTGATGTAAGTAACTATAAGAGAGGAAAGACAAGTTTTAACAAGGACGGTGGTATGATCTGTGAATGATCAAATGGTGTTTTGAGGCAAGACCAGGCAAGCTTATTGTTCAGCTCTCATGAAACAGACATTAATTTATTCAAGAAATGGTAAAGAAAATTACAATAAAGCAAAAATATATTACATTTATAACAGTAAAACTTGAGAACCACCCGATTTCATAAAAATTAGCTGGAAAAAATATTTGTTGAAACTTAAAAAAAAGCAATTAATTTTTTGGTTTAGTTAACCGGAACATCTTTCTAGAACGTCTCAGGTTTTCAGGTAGTTTGTTCCAAAGGTGATGGACATAAAAAGCAAATGTTTCCTCGTCTGGCTTGGTTCTGCTCCTGGTAATACCATACAGAATCTTTCTCTTATGAACAGCAGCTCCAAATGGTCCATATTTGACCAGTAACATTGATATCTTCAGTGCTTCAGAGACCAACAACTAGTTTTGAAAATCTCAACATCCAAATGCAACAAAGCAAAGGCTATTGGAAGAAACTTCAACCAAAACACCCATCTCAAACAGGTTTAATACGATTCCTACTTTATAAAGAATTTTGAAAAGTATTTTGAGGTTTGTCTACTATTTTCAGGTTGATGAGATGGACTTGGATCAAATGCACGTACCTGCCCTGGGTCGGCCCTTCGCTATAGGAATGCTGTATGACGCTCGTCAAGATCAACTGTTAGCAGGTGGGATAAGAAGAAAACTCCTTATACACCAATCGATATCTCTACATACGTTTGGCTGAACTTTGAAGCTTCTGGTGAACTAGATGAAGTCTTCTGGAGCATTGTTTGTCATTTTTAACCAAATTCAAAGTGTAACATTAAATTATTATCATAATATCTTTGAGTTTATAAATTCCTTAGCTTATTCCTACAGGGAAGGATGTTTTTGTCATTTGTATCACATAAGATTGTGATTTGCTGCTATGAATGAGTCATCGGAAGATTGTTGATGAGAACAACGCATTGTTTTTGAAACCATGTCTGTGCCTATTGGCCAACGCTCTGACCAATGAGTGCAACTGACTGTGACGTAGTAAATGTGACAGAAAGCTGGTGAGGGAGTGTAAACAAACAGCCTGTCAGCCGGTAAAACATCGAATATGTCCTTCTTAAAAATTAATGAGCGTAGAACCTCTTCCTGCTCACTATTCAATGAAAACCCAAGTCTAATCCTTCCAAAACGGGTTCTAAAGCTGAGTCAAAAATCGGCATCAGAGCCAGCGGTCCTTCACACACGACAATGCAGAGATGAGGGCCGCTGCAGACGGGCCGCGGTTAGGCCTGGCTGCCGTTAGCCTCGGAGGTCCGCTGGTTGCTGCGGGCCTCTCAACTTCGGAAAAAGATTTTTAATTACGCATTAAATTGGTAAATGGACCATATAGTGACGCTTTAAAGTCTAATATTCTCACCTCCAAGGATCTTAAGACGTACTTTTTTTGAACAACAGAAAATAGAACTTTTAACTTTCAATGGAGAGCTCCACTGAAAGCTGCTGCTGCTGCAGTGCATGCCTCAATAGTTGTTGCCATCTTCCTTGTGCTTTCTGCAGTGTTGCACAGCTTTGCATCCAAAAATTTAAAACACATCTCTGCGTTGTGATTGGCCCGCCAGTTCTAGCATTGATCGAGACTAGACCACTCACAGGCAAATCAAGTTTGGCCGCAGGCAGGTGGGGCTAGTTTACTAGGCTAGGTTTACTTAGATTACCTCTATTTAAAGACAGCCAAGTGGGTTTACAGAAACAGATGATGTTGATGAGCATTTGATTCCCATTAACCTCTTAAAACCCACCGGGTTGCCGGTGACCCGGTGGACCTTAAGTGGGGGTAATAATTCAGAATGCATAAAATTACACCGGTAAAATTTTTACCAGCAGGTGGAGCCATTGTGCGCAGCTCCACACTGACACCAAAAGTTCAAAGACCCACAGCTAGACCTCTGAACTTTTCTGCATGTGTGGTTGACATCATGTAGAACATATATAATACAATAAAACCTACCTTTTATCAAGAATATCTTTATTACTGCTGTTCATTTTTGAGAATAAAAAAAAAAAAAAAACTTTGAGTCATGTTTGAACTGATGCAGGTTGGTCTGTGTTCTAGTCACCCAGTTTTAACTAGACGGTGTTAGCTTTCAAATAAGATATTGCACATGTAATTTGGGCTTACAGTTCCTAAGTTACTTGCTTTTTCATTTGGGTATGCAAAATAGGCGAGGATTACCCAAAATGAGGTGGATGTTACTAAGTTAAACCCACCCATTTTCAGTTTCTCCCTCCCTCTACCAAGGTTAAATGCTTCACCCATGCTCCTGTCCCCTTCTGCTTTTCTCCACCTCTTCTGAATGTTGCAGTCAGGTTGCTAACTGTCTCTATTGTAAGGCAAACAACCTCCAATACTACTGGCCCCTGTACATGAAGTTGGAAAAAGGCTAAAACAAGTTAACTTCAGAACAAGAGCATGTTCCAAGTACCTTTCCATATTACCTCTGATATATTAATAAGTCATATCTAAACCTTTTATTTAGACAGACCTGTTAAACAATCAGATCTCAAGTGAGCTAACAAAAGATCATTACCATGATTTTCCTATAAGGTTAGTCAGGGCCTATTCATTTTGCCCATTCATAAATATACAATTTATCAAAGCTCAAGATGTGAAAGAAACAACTTATGGACAAATTATATTTTATATTATCGTTCAGTATTTCAGGTTAGAAAATGTTAGACTTCAGATTTAAGTATAGGAATAACAATTATTTTACACAACGAAAAGCACTACATATGAAGCCCAAACATGTAACATATTATACATCCATTGTCTACATTATGTGTGCTGATACAAATATAGTTACTAAGTGCTTATTGAAAGTGGTGACCACTATGCAGTCGCATTGTGATTTAAGATCAAGATGAAAAAAAACTCTTCGGGGCTCACTTTCAATAATCATATTTTGGACTAATACCCTGAGAAATAGACTGACTTGTGTTGTACACAAGTCAAAAACAGCGTAAAATTTAGGTCCAATAATTTTTTGTCATAGCAAACCTTATATTAAGATTTTAAAAAAAGCACAGGAAATTCAAAGAAATTTGGGTCTCATCATTGCAAGTTAAGACAGTGGAAAGTAAGTCGGGGCAACTGTTGTCTTCACTTGATCCAAAGCTTTTTGGATAACACAATCTTCTCGGAACATATCCACATGCACAAGGCTATTTAGTTAAAACCAACTAAATAGCCCTGTTCCTTTAGAGCCTGAAAGCAACTCTCTTCATTACAGAGTAAAGACAAGTTTTTATTGTTAATTGAGAGGACTTGGTTCATTTATGTAATAGGAGAAAATTTTAGTAAGATCTTGAGGTAATAAATTGACAAAGTCAGCAGTGATTAATGACACAGATTTTCTTGAAAATGTGGTGTTTTGCCTATAAAACTCAGTGGGGGGGGGGGCTTTATAGAATTTCTACAGTGTTTGAAATAAAACCCTCAACACTAGAGAAACACAATGTATATTGTAATGAAAGTTAATTACTTTTCTTACTTTCTGCAGACTTCACCCTGTGGGACAGAGAAACAATAAAAAAATTCACCATAAGAAAGACCCAGAACAGCAGTCATTATGACACTATTGCTTCAGACACTATTGCAGCCAAGACTTCCCTGCTAAAGGCTGATGAATCTCTCACAGCCAGTGTTCTGAGTGGTCTAATTGATGTTGGAGCATCTGCCAACTATCTG